TGAGGTCAGAAGTTAAAGACCAGCCTGGCTAGCATGGTGAAACCCCGTTTCTACTAAAAATACAAAAAAAATTAGCTGGGCGTGGTGATGTACACCTGTAATCCCAGTTACTTGGGAGGCTGAGGAGGAGAATAGCTTGAACCTGGGAGGTGAAGGTTGCAGTAAGCCGAGATCGCACCATTGCACTCCAGCTTGGGCAACAAGAGCAAAACTCCATCTCAAAAAAAAAAAAAAAAAAAAAAGCTACATGGATAAGTATAAAGTCCAACCCAGAGACATCGTGAGGGAGGCACTATTGGCCAGTCCAGCGAGGAGATGGTCATGGTCACTGTCCTGAGCCTGACAGAGGGGACATCTCACTGGGGAAAAGACCTAAGGTGTGGGTCCTCCCACTGCTCACAGTCCAGGTCTAACTGGTACACAAGCACACAGCTTCGTAGGAGCAGGGGTGCTACAAGGCTGGCTACAAGCTGGTTTGCAATTTGTGCTTGAGGGAAGCAGAATCCACTGTGGGGACATGTGGAAACCAGATATGATGAAAGGGGCCTGGACTGACTGGATTCTAGGTCCAGATCTGTCACCCATTGCTCAGTGACTTAGGACTCAGACAAAGCCAGTTAGTGACAAGGTTTAGAAGAGATCTCCTACGCTGAAATAGCTTAGCATGGGCTAGATGTGTTTAAAATACAGAAACTCACTGAAAGTACAGTCATGCTCTGCATGATGACATTTCCATCAACAACACAACATACACAATTGTGGTCCCATAAGATTGTAACTGAGCTAAAAAATCCCTATTGCCCAGTGACATCTTGATGTTCCTGACCCTGTGTGATCTCAGGCTAATGTGTGTGTTTGTGTCTTCATTTGTAACAAACAAATAAAAAAAGTTTTAAAAGAAAAAAAATAAAACCAAAAAAATTTTAAATAGAGAAAAAGCTTACAAAATAAGAAAATAAAGAAAAATATTTTTGTACAGCTAGGCAATGTGTATTTTAAGTTAAGTATTATCACAAAAGAGTCCAAAAGTTTGAAAAAAAAATCAAATAGTTTGTAAAATAAAGTTAGAGCAAGCTAAAGTTAATTTCTTACCGAAAAATTTCTTATTAATTTAGTATAGCCCTAAGCATACAGTATGTCTAAAGTCTACCTCATGTTTAGTAGCATCCCAGGCCTTCACACTCACTCACCATCACTCACTGACTCACCCAGAGCAACTTCCAGTCCCGTAACTTCCATTCATGGTAAATGTCCTAATAGTTGTACCATTTTTTATTTTTTACACCATAGTTTCTTTCTCTAAATTTAGTATGCTTAGATACACAAATATTTAAAATACTTACCAGAGAGTTACGATTGCCTACAGTATTCAGAATAGTAATACGTTGTACAGGTTTGTAGCCTAGAAGCACTAGGCCACACCATACAGCCTAGGTGTGTAGCAGGCTACCCCACCTAGGTGTGTGTGAGTAGACTCCACGATGTTCGCACGATGGCAAAATTGCCTAACAACACATTTCTCAGAGAGGATCCCTGTTGGTAAGCGACACATGACTGAATAGGCAAACATACAGTGACTGTGCATTTTTTTTCTGAGAGAGTCTAAAGCCTTCATTCCACACTCAGAAGAGTCTATGATCCCAAAACATTAAGGATCAGTTAATCTAAATCATCTACTATTCAATCTGAGAATTTCCTGTGTAGCATCCTCTAGAGTCAGTGATTCCATCTCTCTTTGCCCCTAGTGATAGGTATTCATCACCGTGTGAGGCATTCACAGTTAGAAAATCACTTCTTAATACCACATGCGCAGGCAATGGTTCCCTCACTCCCATCACACATAAGGTTATGGAACAACAGGCATGAGAACATTGAATGGCTTAAAAGTACTTTACAAACAGAAGGTGTTCTAATTTATTCTTGTCATGTAGTTATCACCACAGTATTACCTCTCAAGTTAATTTTTATCTCAACCATTCAAACTCAAGTCTGACTTAGTAACTGGCTCATCATTATTTTTTATAACAAAGTAATGACTAGCAACATCTGGCATCAGAGACTTTGAACAAACCTCAGAAGAAACTGTCAGGGAGGCTTCCCATGGGTTCACGCTCTTCTCTCCTCCTGCACGCAGGGAACTGAGCCATTCTCCTTCCTTTACTGGGACTACTTGGGCTTCATCCAGGGAACCCCCAGGGAGCAACAGGAGGGTGGTGAAAACCGCTGCCCGTTACCTCTAAAGTTTCTTGTGAATGTATCTACAGCGGCCAGCACCATGAGACATACAAATAAAGGGAAGGGAGAGCTGATGTGAGAGCGGCAGCGCGGGCACCGCTGTGAGGTTGCCACAGCTGTAGACAAGTTAAATCAGTGCTGTCCAATCAAAAGTCATGACCCGTGAGAGTCATAACCAGCACGGGTTTACAAAGGAATACATTAAAACTGAGACGGGAGCATAGCTCACATTAGTGAGGGACGGGATCATTTCATGGAGTTTTGTTTCAAAATATTTAATTAACATTTCACATATGTATATGTGTATACTGGATTGTGACATAAATTATAGTTCTCACTACAAAATACAGTCACAGAAAGAAGAAAGAAAGACAGGGCCACTCTTTTAAACCCTGTCTTAACATCCACGGGCAGGCTGCTTCCCGGCATCTTGAGCCCCAAAGAAGTAAATTTCCTTCCACAACCGATGTTACCGCAGCCTGACACTTAGCCAATGATGAAAACGAAAAACAAATGACACTTAGCCAATGATGAAAACGAAAAACAAAACAAAAGCTTGGCAGTCAGTATCCAAATATGCAGATACTACAGAATCTGTTTGATGTGGAAATTGATCCTGCTGCCCAGACAACAAACAACTCATTTATTAATAAAGTCCAGTTCCTCCTTAATGAAGTGGGTTTAATAACTGATATCGCAATAATTACTTAGTGCATTTTTTATGAAGGTGATGGGAAACAAGCGCTGTTTCTTGAGTCGGAAAGAGCCTCTCAAGCTCCCGCAAAGAAATTTCCCTGAGCTTGTGAGGAATTCAGTCACAGGAAGATCAAGGAATTAAGAGTACCGCAAAAAACCCTTTCATGCTTCTGGCTGAGATAAATCTAATGGTATACCGGATGTCTTCAAGAATGCCTCGTTTACTCAAAAAATACAATATTTCCATTTTCTTTATTTGCATTTTAATGTGATTTTTTGCTTCATCTCCTTTCTTCATTCAAGCCACCTGGGCAGTACCCAGGGAATCCCTAAAGGGCAGAAGGAGGGATGTGCAAACCTCTGCAGCCCCTTCAGAAGTTCCTTGTGAATATATGCACAATTAAACAGATGTGCATTTTAGAAATAAAAATGCTTTTAGATCTAATGCTAGGAGATTTAAACCAACAATTTCTCTGTTAAAATGGGTTAAAATAGATGCAAAATATTAATATGTATATAAGCATTCTGAATTAGACTGATGTGCATTTTTCTCCTTTTCTTTCTTTCTTTTTGAGAATAAGCCCTTTTGTTTACATAGAAATGCTTCAGCGTTTAGATAATTGCTACTTATCTTGTTAGCTACAAGCATAACCATAATTAAAGGCTCTGTAAGAATGATGAATTCTGGGGAAATTGGCCACTTGTCTCTCTGTGGCATAAACAATATCTAATTTATAACAAATCATCTGCCTTAGTCCCGGCAGGATAAGGTGATATGTATTGCCCAGCATAAGAGAAAGATGGCAATTAGGAGTTGTTACAAAGTTACTGGAGCCTCACACGAACATCCATCACCTTTGGGGATATGTACAAGATACAAACTTAATTTGATGGATTCCTTTTGTACTGGGATCAAAGTCTCAAAAGGGAAAGTGACAATTGCAGGGAAAATCTGGTGCAATGAGACCAACACTGATGAGAGAAATGCACACAATTTAATGCACCTGCTCACCTTGTTCTCTGATGTGGAAACTCAGCCTGTGCTTGCTGTGGGTTGCCACGGGGTGAGACATGGTCTATGCATGTTCCCAGCAGCCGCCCGTCTCATCACTATTCTTGCCAGCCCAGATTTACAGTCATTCAATAGATGGATTTGGTTGTATCTGCATGACAACAACAGGCAGAGAAGTTAGATGGCAATTGATTCTTGATTGGTGTAAGTTTATAGAAAGCATTCTGGCAGGGTCCAAAGGAAATCACTCACCTACCCCTCTGTGATGGTAAAACGTTGAAAATTCCACTGACTTGGACTTTGTGATCCTTCAGTGGGAGATGGGCAGATTCCTTGCTTTAGTTGACAGACACTTTCTACATAACTAATGCAATCTTATATTACATTATAGTCCATATGGGAGGCATACTTAAACTACTACTTACAACTGTTGTTAGAGCCCTTCAAATGGTTTGTACAAAGTAGCTCCCATTTAAGACATTTTCCTAGTATTTAAGGATGTCTAGTAGACATTACAAAACAATAAACTGTAAATACATTCAGATTTTTATCATTAATACTTAACATGCTGTAATCTGAACTTTCTGCTAAATCATGCTATCCATTCCTAGTTGGCCCAAATGGTGAGAGTTTACTGTTTCTTTAAATAATTTTGTTTCCCTTTGCTGTCTAGAGGTGTTTATCATTCTGCTTACTTACCTGTGTCTCTGGAAAATTCAGAAGTTTCCATGGGAAACAATTTGAATACGCAAAGAAGTTATTTTTAAAGCAAGAAAAATGTTTTCATATGGATTTATTTTGAGCACTTCTGCCTTCGCCTCCACTGGGAACATGTTTCTCTCCAAAGCTGAAGCCCCCCGCAACCATGTGGTGTCTGACACAGAGGCTGACAGGGCAGGGAAGTGGGGTTCAAGATAGGAAGGCCATTGGCAGTGTGACCCCAGCCCACAGCCCTAGATCCCAAGTTGTGACACCACTCTTTTGACAGCCCAGATTGTTACCTAACAAGAGTGAACCCCAAGTTCAACGATTCCAATGCCATCTCCTCTGGTTCCAGATAAGATTGAAGATGAGCTGGAGATGACCATGGTTTGCCATCGGCCCGAGGGACTGGAGCAGCTTGAGGCCCAGACCAACTTCACCAAGAGGGAGCTGCAGGTCCTTTATCGAGGCTTCAAAAACGTAAGACCCGCACAGGCTCTGAAGGCCTCGGGGGGTTTCCCACGTAAGGCTAAGCTCTTCCCAATGCCAAGGGAGCTCATAAGGCAGTTTCCCATATGTGAGGCTACACAAGGAAGGCCAGCTCTATAAAGGGGCCAGAGAGGGAGATCACCTGGTTGGAAAGGAAGGCTCCAGGCGAGGATGGAGCAAAGTCAGGAGACAGTAAACGGCCAACTGCCCAGAAACGTCACAGGGTGGCACATCCTCAGGGAATTCACCCCAGCCCAGGGTCAAGCCTTAACCCTTAACATAGTCATACCTTCCAACTTGGTGGTGCCCCCACAATAATGGGATTTAGGCCTGCTGACTCATGCTAACCAGGCTCACCGAGACTGATGTGTAAGCCGAATGTCAGTGTATTAATTTACCACGGGAAATGGAACTGACAGTGGGACCAGACACTCCTCTCCCTTCTCTGGGACCCGCTCTCCTTAGAAGCCACGTGGAAGCCAGGTTACAATCAAAAGTGGGGTCAGAGGATGGGAGTTCCTTGTTTAGCTGTTACTTTAAATACATTAATATGTTCCTGAATTCTCAGGTCAGCTGGAGAGCTCTCAGATACAATCCCGGATATTAATTTATTTTTTTAAGTTTAACTCTCAGAGCACAATCTTATTCCCAAATCCTGGGGTGGTGTGGAGTGGGGTGGGCTAGAGCAACGTGCACCTGGTCACCCTCCCTCCAGGTGCAGTCTATAGGTAGAGCTGAGCTGGGTCAATTCCAAACTGACCACAGCCTCATTGTTCTCCAAAGTGCTGACCCACAGGGATTCCAGCCCCTCCTGGGAGTCATCTGACAGGTGCTGGGATGCCTCTTCCTTCCACACTAGCCTTGATTGCACACACCAAGTGCCTGGTTTCCTACCATCAGGGCTTCTTTCCTTCTGATGGCAGCATTAGCAGTGGGCAGCCGAGTTGGAGCAGGATCCTGTGGGAAAGTTTCCCAGGCAGGCACTGGGCTCAGAGGGAACAGCATCCAGAACAGAGAAGAAATCTACACTGCTTGGCATCTACCATGGACTCAGTACCACCTAACATAGGTTCATAAGATACCCTTGGGGAAAGTATTGTTAGCCCCATTTTACAGGTAAGGATATTGAGAATCAGAGACTGGCATGGCCAAAGTCACAAAGCTTAGTATTTATTGGCTAAGCCAGGATTTAAACCCAGGTTTTTCTGCTCTTAAGGCCCCAAATCTCTCCACCTCACTGTGCCCATTCTCTGACAATGTCTCATCATTTTGCAAAGCAGCTCCAGTCCTGAGATGGAGTTACTTCGGAGAAGTGGAAATGCACAGGTCCCTGCCCCTGGGGATCATGAGGAACCCCAGACACCAAGGCTGGGCCCAGTCTTCTTCTCCTAGTGCTGGCCCTCAGACACCTCCTGCTGACTCTCTCCCCTTCCCACAGGAGTGCCCCAGTGGTGTGGTTAATGAAGACACATTCAAGCAGATCTATGCTCAGTTTTTCCCTCATGGAGGTGAGTCTGACCTTTAAATCTATCTTGCCCAGAGCCCTCTCTGGTGAATAGCCTTCCCTTCCTCCAAGTCCACTCTTCCTTGCTATCTGCTTCCTTCTCGAGGAAGGGGCAAACTCAGAGCAGGACGCCTCCCTCATCGTGAGAGGTAGGAGTCTCCAAAGCTTTAGCAGGAAAGAACTCTGAAAACGAACCCACCCTGGAAGGGGAAGAAGGGCTGATAATGCAACATCACAAAGTCTCAGAACAGCTCTAGAAAGCAGATATTATAATCCCACATGGGGTAACTGAGTTTCAGGGAAGATAAGCAATGTACTCAAGATTGCACAGCGAGTGAGTAGCAGACCAGGATTAGATTCCATAAGGGTCTGAAACAAGTTTTGCCATTCTGGTGCCACCACTGTGCAGGGCACCTTTGATTCTTTTCCTTAAAATAGCTGAGACAAGCTGGAATTTTGTAAAAGAACTCCAGTAAATACCAAAGACTATAAAAATAAACTAAATGAAAAAGAGACAGGAAACATAAAGTTGTGCTTATTAAGCCAGGTTACAAGTGTGCCAGGCCCACAGCAGCTGCTCTGTCGCCCTGCCTGACTCGGGAACCAGCTCTGTCCCCATGGGCCTGGGACCACATCAGTGGCTCCTCTGTGGCCTCCATGTGTCACATGCCACCTTGCATCCTGTCTCCAAGAGCTGTCTCCTGCAAGACACCTTCCCCAGATCCTGACAAAATGCAGATCCAAGCATTCCAAACACTTCTTGGGCCCTGTTTCTCAAGGGCCTTTTTGGCAGCAGACAGATGCCTTCCTGGGTGTGTGGGGCCCCTATCCAGATCAGGTGTGGGAGGCAGTTTTGTCCCATGCAGGCCCCAGAATTGCAGTTTGCTGAGTTCCACTAAGCCACTGTTTATTGAGTTCTTACTGTATGCCAGGCATAGCTCTAGTTTAAAATACTTTTTAGCAAATTTCAAGAGATAGGTCTTGCTCCATCCCATTGTACAGAGGTAGGAAAGGGAAACTCAGAGAGGTCATGCTTGATGCCCACAGTCACACAGCTTATGTAGTACAGCGGCATCCAAGTTCAGATTTCTCTACTCTGGAGTGCGTGCTCATCCCCGGCATTGCATGGCCGCTCAGAAGAACATGTCATGCAGTCACTGTGTCATTCATACACTGACGATTCCGTGCATAGATAGGCAGGAGAAAGGTTTTCTCACGATGGCTAGAGGGAGGGATAAGGGTTCATCTCACCTTTGGCTAGATCTAACTTCCCACCCAAACCCAAAGAGTTGAGTCAATGGGCCCCACTCCATAATTTTCTTCTTTCCATCACCCTAGCATCGCTCTCCCCTCTTTCTTGTCGAAGCCCTGCCTTGTTTGGAAGGTTCTCCCTGTGTGGAATTCCTGCCCCCATCACCTGCCCTCCTTTTCTGCCTTGTAGATGCCAGCACGTATGCCCATTACCTCTTCAATGCCTTCGACACCACTCAGACAGGCTCCGTGAAGTTCGAGGTATGCTCATCTGGGGTCCACTCGAGGGGTCCTCTGGTTCTGCATCACCTCCCCCCCTAAATCTCAAGGCACTGGGGGAAGGGCTGGACCATCAAAAGCTCTCAGTCAGACCAAAGACACATTTATCCATTCGTAAGCATTTCCTAAAGATGGGGAGAAGCAGTAGCAACTTTGCCTGGCCTGCAGGAACTCAGGGACTCGGGGGACTAATAACAGCTCCCAGGCACACTGCTTCCCAGTGGCAGCCCCTGTACTTAGGGCTTTGTATGTACTAACTCATTTACTCTAACCCCACGATAACCCTACAGGGTAGCATTTTATTATTTATTACCCTTTTACAGAAGAGGAGAGTAAGGCAAAGAGAGAGAGTAGCTTTCCCAAGGTCAAAGAGCACACAAATGATAAAGGATGGATTTGAATGCAGGCAGAATGACCCTCAATACAGACTGTTCCTACAGTCTGCGTCCTCAGCCACTAGGCCATACGGCCACTGGGATGATAGACTGACCACTGCAGCCATGGATAAGGCAATAACAGGGCTGGCTGCATTGATCTGTGTCTCTCAGAGCTCCATTCTTCCTCAAGGGGGCACCTTGCAAAAAAAATGGGGCAGGGTAGGGACCCGAAGGCAGGAGCTCTTCACTGAGCATAGCCACATCCTCCAGGCAGACAAGAGGACATGGGAGGCACCACTCTGTGAGAGTATCACAATCTGACCCAAAGACACAGCTTCACCCTGCCTGATGTCACTCCTGCCTTTTTCCCTTCTCAGGACTTTGTAACCGCTCTGTCGATTTTACTGAGAGGAACTGTCCACGAGAAACTAAGGTGGACATTTAATTTGTATGACATCAATAAGGATGGATATATTAACAAAGAGGTAAGTAAGCCAGGGCCAGGGGTGTGAGAGGGCTCCAGTGAAGGTAACTAACCCAACAGAAAACAGTCCCAGGCTTGAGGATAGTGCTGTCTGAATGAGGCAGGCTCTGCTTTGGGGCTAACAGAACTGGTCCCTGGCAAAATAAAGAGGGCCTCCCTCATTGCCCTACCCTGCCTGTTCCCAAGCCCCCAGAAAGGATTAAACAGATTCATTCTCCCTGGGTCACCTAGATTCAGTAGACATTACACAGTGGGTAAAACTGACTTGTTTCAGTGTAAAGAGTTACTCTTCCCTAGAGAACGTGCATTTGGGAAGGTTGGGAGCCACAAGTTAAAGCTAAAAGTTGAAATGGTGGAATTCTAGGTAGCACCTAGAATAGAAAAGAAAGGGTTTTAAGAGGAACCTATAACTGGGTCATATTGGCCTTAACCTATTTTGCCTACTAATACAACCTCGAAGGGGGTAATGGAAGGTACAGCTGTCTTTAAAGAAATTATCACAAATAATTTCTGAATCTTCACTGCTTCGCACTTTTAGAACCTCAGAAGATGTCTGTAGCCAGTGAAATACCCTCAGTATCCACTGTACCCTGGTATCTCAGTGGAAGCTGGAATTTGGCATCCTGTAACACTCTACTTACTGAGCTCCTGTGTGCCAGGTGCACTGCCTGGAGTGTAGATATCAGCGCAATTATCTTCACCTCAACCCTGCAAGGTTCTCTCTGTAAGCTCAGAGAGTTTATCCAACTTTCATTCCTCATTCATTTAGTCATGTTTTTAATTAACACACATTTGAAGACTTATTAGGTGTTCTAGGTGCTGGAAGTAAAGAGGTGAACAATCAGACTAGGCCTCACACTGGAGCAGTATAGAAAGATGGACAATAAACAGGCCAAAAAGGAATCAACAGGTAGAAGATATTTTGGCAGGGAAGGTTAGCAAAGTCCTCTCTAAGGAGGTGTTGTCATACTGGAACCAGTTATACAAAAAGCCAGGAAAAGTGTTCCAGGCAGAAGGAAGAGCCACTAGAGAGGCTTTGAGGCAAGATAAAGCTTCATGTGTTTCAAAAACAGAAAGGTTGCAGACGGTTGCAGATGAAGTTATGAAGCCGAAGATCAGTGCAGGATGAGGCTGACAGGTCAACAGAGTCAGATGGTGGAGGGCTAGGGTAAGGGGCCTATCCATATTCCCCTGGGAAGCTGTTAGATGAACATGTTTTTTGAAAGACACAAAAGGCAAAAACAGACTTAAAGAGAATCAGAAAATATGACTAGCTCTGTATCATTTAAAGAAATTATATTATAATTTTTTATATATAAATTTTTATATTATAAAAAATTCACAGTTAAAAACCATTCCCAAATAAAATTATAGGCTCAGATGGTGGACTGGTGAATTCTAATACCAATCCTACAAAAAATTTTAGAAAATAGAGGAGGATGGAATATTTTGCAACTTGTTTTATAAGTCCAATAGTACCCTGATACCCAAACCAAAGAAAAAAAGGTCTTATGAGAGGAAACAACTACAAAACAGTCCCCCTCATGAGCACAGACACAAAAAGCTTTCACTAACTATTAGCAAATTGAATCCAGCAATATATAAAAGGATGATACACTACAACTATGTGAGTTTTATTCTAGGAATGCAAGGTTAGTTTAACATTCAAAAATCAATCAATATAATTCACTATATTTAAAGCAACCAAAGGGATATAGACTGGAAAGGAAGAATTAACACTGTCTTTATTTGTACATGATACAATTGTATTAATAGAAAACTTTAAGAGTCTACAAATAAATTGCGAAAAATAATAAGTGAATTTAACAAAGTGAAGACATGCGTTCTATTTACAAAAATCATTTATAATTCTACATCCAACAAGCAACCACAAAATTAAGAAAAAATAGCATCAAAAAGCACAAAATACTTTGAGAAAAATTCAACAAAATAGGTGCAAGACTCATACACTGAAAACTATAAAATATTGCTGAAATAAATAACTAAATAAACACAGAGATATATCATGCTCATGGGTTGGAAGGCCCAATATAGTTAAGATGTGGATTCTCCAAATTTGATTTATAGATTTAGTGCGATCTCAATCAAAATCCCAGCAGGTATTTTGTAGCAGTTGATTTGGGAATGCAAAAAATTTAAAATAACCAAAACAACCAAAAACAGAACAAAGTTAAAGGACTAAACCTACCTTACTTCAAGACTTCATGAAAAGGTGCAGTAGTCAAGACAGTGGGGAATTGGCATAAGGATACACATATAGATCAATGGATCAAAATAGAGAGTCAAAAAAACTTAAAGTAGAGCTACCATATGATCCAACAATCCCACTGCTGGGTATATACCCCAAATAAAGGAAATCAGTATATCAAAGAGATATCTGCACTCCCATGTTTGTTGTACATCTGTTTATAATAGCCAAGATTTGGAAGCAACCTAAGTGTCCATCAACAGATGAACGGATAAAGAAAATGTGGTACTTATACACAATGGAGTACTATTCAGCTGTAAAATAGAATGAGATTTAATCATCTACAACATGGATGGAACTGGAGGTCATTATGTTAAGTGAAGTAAACCAGGCACAGAATGACAAACATCCCATGTTCTCTCTTATTTGTGGGATCTAAAAATCAAAACAATATGAAGATAGAGGGTAAAAGGATGGTAACCACAGGCTGGGAAGGATAGTAGGGGGGGCTATGGGGGAAGTTGGGATAGTCAATGGTACAAAAAATATATAATGAATGAATAAGGCCTGGTATTTGATAGCACAACAAGGTGACTGTAGTCAATAATTTAACTGAACATTTTAACTAAAAGAATGTAATTGGTTTGTAACACAAAGGATAAATGCTTGAAGGGATGGATACCCATTTTTCCTGATGTGGTTATTACACATTGTATGCCTGTATCAAAACTTGTCATGTGCCCCATAAATATATACACATAATATGTGTATATACACATATATACATATAAATATATACATATATAAATATATACACATATATAAATATATACACATAAATATGTGCCCACAAAAATTAAAAATAAAAAAAAAATTTAAATAGTGATAGACTCACCCATATGTCAATGCAACAGATGCCAAAAAGATCAAAGAGGAAAGAATTGTGTATTCGACAAATGGTTTTGCAGCAGCTGTATATCCATTTGGAAACAAAAATGGACCTTAGCCTTAACCTCATGCCAAACATAAACATCATCCTGGAATGGATTATAGAGTTAAATATTAAAACAAAAGCTGTTTTCTTAAGGAATACATAGGAGAAACATTCTTACAACTTTGGAGTAGGAAAGGATAAGGAATCATTTTTTAAAGTAGATAAATTTGACTTCATCAAAGTTAAAAATTTCGTCCCTCACCTTTAAGAAAATGGAAATACAAGCCATGGACTTGGAAAAAAATGTTTGCAAATTATATACCAGATATATAAAGATACCAGGGATACCAATCCAATATCATACTGGCATCCAAAATACATAAGGAACATTTATAATTTAATACAAAGATAAATAACTTCATATAAAATAGGCAAAAGATTTGATGAGACACTTAAGAAGATATGTGAGCCCATAAAAGGTTGGCCAGTAAGCCCATGAAAGGTTCCTCCATATCACTGGTCTTCAAAGAAATGAAAATTACAACCATAATGAAATACAACTGCACAGAATGGCCACAATTAAAAAGACTGACAATACCAATCATTGGCAAAAATGTGGAGCAATAGAAACTCTCACAGATAGCTGGCAGAAATGTAAATGGTACAAGCATATTGGAAAACATTTTGGCATCTTTGATAAAGCTCAACATGAACTTAACATACAACCCAGAAATCCCATTCCAGTCAGGTATGGTGGCTCACGCCTATAATCCCAGCACTTTGGGAGGCTGAGGCAGGTGGATCATTTGAGCTCAGGAGTTCAAGACCAGACTGGGCAACATGGCAAGACCCTGTCTCTACTAAAAATACAAAAACAACAACAACAAAAAGCTAGACGTGATAAGCACCTGTGGTCCCAGCTACTAGGGAGCTGAGGTGGGAGAATTGCTTAACCCTGGGGAGAAGAGGTTGTAGTGAGCTGAGATTGCACCACTGCACTCCAGCCTGGGTGACAGAGCAAGACCCTGTCTCAAAAAAAGAAAAAAAAAGAAGAAAAGAAGTCCCACTCCTGGGTATTTACTCACCAAAATAAAAATATGTAATTCCATAAAGACTTGTACAAAGATGTTCATAGCAGCTTTATTCATAGTAATCTCAAAACTTAAATGACCCAAATGTCTGTCAACAGGACAATGGGTAAATACATTGTAGTCTGTTCATCCAATGGATTATTACTCAGCAGTAAAAAGGAATGTTATAATTGCATGCAGCAATGTGCATGAAGCTCATAAACCTCATGCTGAGTGAATGAAGCCAGACTCAAATGAGTTTACACTGTTTTACTCCATTTACATGAGATTTTAGAAAATGCAAACTAATCTATAGTAACAGAAATTAGATCTGTGGTTGCCTGGCATCAAAGGTTGAGAGGCACTTACTGCAAAGAAGTGTGAAGGGATGTCTTTTGGTTGTGAAAATGTTCTATATCTTGAGTGTGGTGGAGGTTACATGGGTGGATACATTTGTCAACATTCTTCAAACAGTACACTTAAAATCGGTGAATTTGTTATAAGTAAATTATGCTCCAATAAATTCAATTTATCTGTTGAAAATCTTGATGTAAGGCGGAAGTGCCTAACCAATAGAAGACACTCAAAAAAATGTGTTGAAGGAAAAAAATCCTATGAAATAAAGCAGGTAAGAGAAAATAAGAACTCAATATCATTCAAAATATAGATTACAAATCCTAAATGAGATAATAGGAAATTAATCCCAGTGTTCTGTTTAAAGGCTCATACCTGTAATCCCAACACTTTGGGAGACTGAGGCAGGAGAATGGGTTGAGCCCAGGAGTTCAAGACCAGCCTGGTCAACATAGGGAGAGCCTGTCTCTTCAAAAGAAAAATTTAAAAATTACCTGGGTGTAGTGGCACGTGCATGTGCTCCCAGCTACTCCAGAGGCTGAGGCAGGAGGACAGCTTGAGCCCAGGAGTTCAAGACTGCCCTGAGCCATAATCACTCCACCGTACTCCAGCCTGGGCAACAGAACAAGACCCTTCCTCAAAAAAGCAATAAAATAAAATAAAGAAATGCACATGACTAACGTAAGGTTTATTCCAGGAATGCAGGAATAGCCCAGTAGCAGATAAAGCATATTAAATAATTTATCATATTAATATATCAAAAGATTAAACCATTTGATGTTAAAATTGTATTTGATATAATTTACCATTTATTCATAATAATTTTCAAGATTCAACTAATTAGGAATAAAATACGTCTTCAGCATAGTGGAAAATACCCCAGCCTAGTACACAGCTTCATACTTTATGGTAACATGCAGAGATTCTCACTGAAGAAAAGACGAGGCAAGAGTGCAAGCTGTCAGACATCACAACTGTTTAACATTTCTTGAAAGTTCTTCAGATATAGTAAAACAGAAAAAGAAATGCAATCTAAATATGAAAAATTACAACATTCCTTATTAATGACATGATTTTCTATCTAAGAAAAAAGATAGCAAGAAAATCAACTTAAAACAACTAGAACTTTTAAAAAGCTGGCAAAGTGACTGGTAATAAAATACATACACAAAAGAAATTGTGTGGCCAATATATCAGTTGTGACTAGCTAGAAAATTGTAATAAAAATATTCTCATTGTAATCACAATAAAATTTAAAGCACATGGGCATTTTTAAATATCCATAATTTAGATGAAGAGAAAGAAAAATTTGATAAGTAGAGAAACATACCATCTTCTGAAGGAATGTATATTATAAAGATAGCAATATTGTAATGACAGCAATTCTTCTCTAATTAACTTTAAATTTATTTTATTTTGAATCCGAATGAAAGTGTTATTTGGGGAGGGAATTTGGCACAATTGTTATAAAGTTACATTGGAAGATTAATCAGGTGAGAACAGCAAAGATAATTTTCGAAAAGAAGAAAAATGGTAGGATTTGTTCTACCAGATACTGAAATATATTATAAAGCTGAAACTATTAAAATATTATAATATCAGAGAAGGAACAGGTAGATCAATGGAACAGAATAGAAATCCCAAGTACAAATACCATCTTGGTTCATAATAAACGTAGCGTATTGAATAGAGAGGTAATGAATCATTAAATGATTCTGGGAAAACTGGTTAACTATTTTGGCAACAAGTAAGTAAATATTCTTACTTAGTACCATAAACCCAAAATCACTATAGATATGTACAGTTGTTTTTTAACTAAAAAGAACTAAAAATCATACATGAATATCTGATCATAGACTGGAAAAACCATAAAATCAAAGTTAGAAACAAGTTTTTAAATTATTGATGACTTTACACTGTAAATATTTTAAAATTCTGTATATCAAAAAATACCATAAACAAAGTTGAAAAGCAAGTGACAAACTTGTTTTTAAAAATCTGCAATTTATGATGAGAGAAAGGATTGATATTCCTCAGTAGACATTCATCTTAACAAAGGCAAGAGTCATATTCATCGTGCTTATGTTTGTATTTCTTTGACACAATATCTAGCACATGGTAGATGCATAAAAATATCTTTTAAATAAATTAAAAACCTATTAAGAGATTTTAACAATTTAGTAAATCTACACAAATATATAAACAACTCTCACAATCCAATCAGAAATAGATGAATACAATGAGCAAAGCAGATGAAAAAATAGTTCATGGGAAAATAAATAAAAATAGTCAATACATATATTAGAAACCTCACTAAGAAAATAATGTTTACCTTTAAAAACAATGAATTATCACTTATCTATTAAATTGCAAAGATTTTGTAAAGTCTTTGTTGAAGGCTGGTGAAAAGTGGTTTTTCATACATAGTTGTTGAGAGTGTTCTGATATAAACTTTCTAAAAGGTATTTGAGGAATATGTATCAAAAGCATTGAAAGTTATGCATCCCATTCTCCTTATAAAACTACATCTTGGTATATGTCCCAAGGAAATAAAGAATAGATGCAAAGACGTAAAAGCAGGAAGAGTCTTCAGGTAATAGTGCCCCAAAATGTGATAACCATCATAGCCACTAATAGCAGATTTGTAAAATGAATTACAGTAAATACATAAAACGGAATAGCCAGTGGCCACTTAAAATCATGAAAAAGTAATGTAAAATAAACATTAGTATGATATATTACATTTTTAAATAACTTGATAAAGTGATATGTATATCTCAATTTTGTAAACAACTAAATGATTATATACACATGTAAACATATGATGCTCTAAAATATTCAAATACTACCTTGCAAAATATATAAAGAAAAAAATACAGAAGTGGGATTTATACTACTTGGTCTTCAACTTTGGTTCACTCATTATTCCATCACTGAATAACCTTACTAGCTCCTACTCCCATTTTGTAATTTGCAAACGAGGCAGAATTGTCCCCATTAATCCATCAGACCTCTCTGGAGGGCAGAATTAATAAAGTATCCCTTAAAGAAAAAGAAAGCATGGATAAGTAGCTTCTTAGAAAAGACAGCAGGCTCTTCCCTTGGCAATCATTTGGAGATAATCTCATCCAAGTTGTAGGCTATGAAAATCCTGAGAGAGCAACAAAATTGTTCTTTAAGCTCTTTCTGTGATTTAAAAAAAATATCAGACAGGAAAAGCATCAGTGGCCATGTAGATGTGAAGGGCTTGTAAAGTATGCATTTAAAAATAAACACATGGATAGAGACATGTATTTCCTCGTTCTATCTGTTGAGGGCACCTCAGAGCAATGACATCCCTGTAGCAGTGATCACACCTAGCACCTAGACCTTGGTTTCTAAATACCGTTCATCAATAAACAGAACCAGTCTTCTTGGGGAGAATAGTTGATTCCAAGATTGGGTAAGAGAAAATACAAGATGAGCCTGGAGTACTTTATCATGCTGGAAAGTATGAAAGTGCTAAAAAATAAAAAATAATAAAAACTGCAGGAGTCAACCTGAAGGAGTTCCCAATAGCCAAAATGAGAGCAATTTGAGCAAAGTTAAAAATTATTAAGTATTGGATTATAACCTATAAAATAGGTAAATGTCTGTGAGTCCATTCTAATATAAATAAACAACCGAATACATAAATGCAGGAGAGAAGGCAGCTCTTCCTTACAGAAGAATTTTAATTAATAAATATAGAAGGAATAAAGGCAATACAAAATTACCATCAGGCAAACACTGCAATAATAATTTTTATAGGCAAGATCCACTGAAAGATACTAAATCAGCAAGGAAACTTGACAGACACCACCTTAATCAAGTGATCAAGGTTAACATTATCAGTAATAAGACATCTCAACACTATGTAACTCCCTGATATGATGCACTGAGAAGGTTATAACATCACTTCTGTGATATTCTTGCCAAAAATGCATAACTTCAATCTAATCATAACCAAACCAAGGATTAACTCAAATTGAGAGATATTCTACAAAACAACTGACCTGTACTCATATCAAAAGTGTGAGGTCCTGAAAGACAAGGAAAGAAAGAAACTCAGGCTGGGCATAGTGGCTCATGCCTATAATCCCAGCACTTTGGGAGGCAGAGGCAGGAAGACCACTTAAGTCCAAGAGTTTGAGACCAGCCTGGGCAACATGGCAAAACCCTACCTCTACAAAAAATCAGCCAGGCGTGGTGGTACTTGCCTGTAGTCCCAGCTACTTGAGAGGCTGAGGTGGGAGGACTGCTTGAACCTGGGAGGTCGAGGCTGCAGTGACCAGGATTGTGCCACTGCACTCCAGCCTGCATGACAGAGCAAGACCCTGTCTCAAGAAAAAAAAGGTAAAAGAAAAAAAAAGAATGAGAAACTCATGCAGATTAGAAGAGACTAAAGAGACACAACAAATAAATGCAATGTAGAATCATTGAAGGGAAAAAAAGATACTAGTTGAAAAGCTGATAAAATTTGAATAAGCCCTGTAGTTTAGTTAATAATAGTCTAGCAATGTTAATTTCCTGGGTTTGGTCATTGTGCTCTGGTTATGCAAGTTGTTAACATTAGAAGAAACTGGGTGAAATGTATGCATGAACTCTCTGTACTATTTTTGTAACTTTTCTGTAAGTCTAAAATTAATAGGTGAAATTAAACAATAATAAATAAAATAAAATAAGCACATGGAATCAGACTGTCTCCTGGATCTCTGTAGAAACCACATCAAACATCCCAAACGCTCTTTTATCCCCATTCCGAGTTGTGCCAGAATGATCAGAATAATGGTTCCTAATGTACCTTGATAAACATGGAAACTCACAGGACCGAGTCCTAAGATGCTCTGGTTCAATAGGTTTGGGGTGCACTTGAGAACCGATCTTTTTAATAAGGGCCTCAGTCTGTGGAACTATTGGCCTCATGTGCCCTGTGGATAATCTTGGCTGTTGATTCATTTTTCTTAACTTAAAACAGTGGCAGAACCTATGGGGATTTTCAAATCTCTAGGCTAGAACATTCACTTTTTAAAAATTCAGAATAATATTTTATTTGCCTCAAGAACAGAGAGCCTAAGTAGGCGTCTGTGAACGGGGATCCCACACATCACCCTGCACTGAAGACAATGCCCGTAATGAGGTAACCTACCCATGAGCTTCTGCAGGCTTTAAGGATTGTCTACCATCTCCTCCCTAAAAGGGCTCCCACAATATAGCCCCTTCTGCTTGCTTTCTAACTCCCTATCACCTGTTAAAGAAGGACCTCACCTTTTAATCACTTTCATTGCCAAGGGACACAAGGAGCCCCAAACTCTGTCGCCTAGGAAGAGCTTGACCTCTTGGTCCCCACACTGTGTGCTTTTATGTCCCTGCTCCAGGAGATGATGGACATTGTCAAGGCCATCTATGACATGATGGGGAAATACACATATCCTGTGCTCAAAGAGGACACTCCAAGGCAGCATGTGGACGTCTTCTTCCAGGTAAGTGCACACACCCTGCACGTGAGCTGTAAGCCCAGCCTAGATCAAGTCAACCCATGAGCATCTGGGCAAGTGATTTGTGTCCAACCCTGTACTAAGCATGGTTGGAAACTGAAAAGAACTATCAGATACCTTGTCCTCAAGAAACAGATGATCTCCTTAAGCTGTAAGTGTACATGACAGAAGAGAACAAGAAAGTATATTATTAAATATTAGTGGTATAGTATGAACTCTAAATCCATAAAAATTAGGGGATCGGAGTAAACACGAAAGACTTCACTAATTACAATTGTGGAGGTGCTAAGCATTTGTGTCTGGGTAGTGAGGGGAAACAAGATTGGAAACTAGGATAGGGCCAGATTATGAGACCTTAACTGCAAGGGTTTGGCCTTGCTCTGGTGCAGGATGGGCAACTACTGCTGATCCTTGACTAAGGGAGTGGTATGATCATTGGGGCATTTTAGGAAAAAATTGTCTAGTGGTAGAGTATCAGAGAATATCAGAGCTCACTCTAGCCCAACTTCCCACTTTGCAGATGGGAAAAGAGAATCCTCTCTGGCCTTGTGCAAGTTTGTACAGCAAGTAACAGGCCAGAATCAGAACCTCTTGTGCTCAGTGTTCTGCCAGAGGGACAGGGTAGCAGGGAGTCTACAGAAGAAGCAGAATAAGCCAGCAGTGAGGTGATGAGTGTCCAGAGCAAGTCTTTTGATTTAAGGAAACTCACGGGGGTCAAAGTGTTGTAATGAGGACCTAACTGGAGTTGTCTGGCCAGTGAAAGACAACTCTCATTCTCGGGGCAAAGTTGGTTAATGCAATGAATGAAATGTGCTCCAGCAAGAAAGCAGGGGAGTAAGCTTTGGAATGGAGATCACCAGATTCCATAAAGTGCTTTCTGTTTTGTCTTTCAGAAAATGGACAAAAATAAAGATGGCATCGTAACTTTAGATGAATTTCTTGAATCATGTCAGGAGGTAAGGAGAGATCTCAGGGCACAACAATTCTACATCTGGGAAAGGAAACCTGGGGCCTGGGGACCTGCAGAAGGAAGGTGACGAGAAACCTGCACATACCTGCAACCCCTCCTATCAGAGCCAACAACACTAGCAACAACTGTGAAGTCCAGCAGTTCCACTCCTCAACCTGGCCTGTGGTTGGTCTTGGCTAAGCACAGGACTGAACAGAGAGCCTAAGTAGGCGTCTGGGGGGATGTGGATGTGAAAACTCACAGGGGGTCTCTGTGAAAATAGACTTCCCAAGAGGGCAACACCATTATTTTTTAGCCTGCCTCTGGCTTGATGACCCGTTCCCCAGATGACAAGGAAGCAGCTGGGAGCGGGGCAGGGAAATCTACAACTGTGTGATTCTCAAACCACAGTGTGCATAAAAATTGCCTGGAATGATTCTGAAAATGTATATTTCCAGGCCTCAATCCCAGACACTCTAGATCTGGGTCACTTTAACACAAATGCCCTGGACCAAGGCTTCTAAAACTTTAATGTGTGAAACAATATCCTTAAAGATCTTGTTAAAATGCAGATTCTAAGTCCATAGGTCTGGGGTGGGGCCTGAAATGTTACTTTTCTCACATTCTCCCCAGTCACACCAGCGATGCTGGTCCTGGGAACACAACTTTCATTAAGTCTAACCAATAGACCAGCCCCAGAGTCACCAGAGACTGAACTGGAAATAATTGCTTCATCTACTTTTGAGAAATCCATTTGTACCCCTACATTATTTTTAAAATGTACACAGTTACTCTGCACTCCAGCCAAGAAGAATAGCAAATGTAAGAAAGCAGGGGAGAAGTTACTAGCACACACTGAGCCCCCACCGAGTTTCAAGCACATACATAAACATCACAACCACCCTGTTATGTAGATGTCCTATATGCAGGGTGATATCCAAGATATTTAACAACTAGAATGGAATGAACATTGACCCCCTTGGGGGTGAGTTCTCACTCTGTTAGTTCCCTTGAGAGCTGGTTGTAAAACAGCCTGGCACCTTCCCCACCCCCAACCTTGCCTCCTCTCTCACCATGGGATCTCTGCACACCCAGCTCCCCTTCACTTTCTACTGTGAGTCGAAGCAGCCTGAAACCCTCACCAGATGCAGATGCTCAACTAAACTTTCCATCTGCCAGAATAATGAGCCAAATAAGCCTATACTGACATTAACCTTTTCATTTCTGATATTGATAATTTGAAAAGCAGTCTTATAAGCATTTATCTACTTTATTGATTTTTTTGAAAGAGAGAGCTTTGGGGGATTTTCTTCTTGTATGTCTCCATTGCATGTTCTGTATTTTACATTTTTCTATTATTTATTCTCTGAGGTATAGTATTGAATGTAGAAAAATCCTCAAATGTTGGGTATTAAGCAATAAACTTATAATTCATGGTTCAGAGAAGAAAATATCTTGAATCAAAAATAAAATAAAAATATGACTTATCAAAATGTGTAGGATCTAAAGCAGTATTCCAGGAAGGCAAGGTTGGTTTAACATTCATAATTGGTCAGTGTAATTAATCACATTAATAGAATAAAAAGGGAAAAAATATAATCATTTCAGTGGATGTATAAAAATAATTTTATGAAATGTAATTGTTCAGAGCTTCTTAAAAGAACTCACTATTTTACTAGATGATTTGTTTCTTCTGAATTCCTCTTTAAGGCTACAGGTGGTGCTTTTTACTTTGAGCTGATCACTTTTTATGTCCCCATCCTTACTTCTTGTTTTTCATACCCTTGTAGAGTTTTCCCCATATAGGAAACCCATGCTTGAGATTTGCTCACCAGAGTTACAGAGCAATCAGGGAGGGGACTCAGAGTTCTAACCATCCTCTTCCCCTCCTTTTCTCCCAGGATGACAACATCATGAGGTCTCTCCAGCTGTTTCAAAATGTCATGTAACTGGTGACACTCAGCCATTCAGTTCTCAGAGACATTGTACTAAACAACCACCTTAACACCCTGATCTGCCCTCGTTCTGATTTTACACACCAACTCTTGGGACAGAAACACCTTTCACACTTTGGAAGAATTCTCTGCTGAAGACTTTCTATGGAACCCAGCATTATGTGGCTCAGTCTCTGATTGCCACCTCTTCCTCCTTCTTCTTCTTGAGAGAGACAAGATGAAATTTGAGTTTGTTTTGGAAGCATGCTCATCTTCTCACACTACTGCCCTATGGAAGGTCCCTCTGCTTGAGCTTAAACAGTAGTGCACAAAATATTCTGCTTACATGCCCCCAGCCCACTGCCTCCAAGTCAGGCAAACTTTGGTGAATCTGGAAGCAAGAGGACCTGAGCCAGATGCACACCATCATCTGATGGCCTCCCAAACCAATGTGCCTGTTTCTCTTCCTTTGGTGGGAAGAATGAGAGTTATCCAGAACAATTAGGACCTGTCATAACCAGATTGGGAGAGCCAGCACCTAATATATGTGGGATAGGACTGAATTATTAAGCGTGGCATTTTCTGATGACCCAAACTGCCCATGTCATTTGTTTCCAGAAACGAGGACCAATAATTCTCTCACACTGGCATTTGTGCTGGTAGTGCAAGTCCTTTAATATGTCTAGGAAGTGAGCCATTGCCCAGTGGTCCATATCTCCACCACATCCCCTGCTTGAGCCCAGCGCTGCATGTCCCTCCCGAGAAGTCCAGAATGCCTGCAAATTGCTGTAATTTTATACCATGTTCTAACCAATAAACAGAACTATTTCTTACACTCTCAATCACTTCTTCATGACTCCATTAGGTAAGAGAGGTAAGCTGTGAAAAGGGAAGGCTAGTCCATTCACTTGACATCCAATTATTAGTGTAGTTGTTCCTCTGTATGTGTGAAGGATCGGTTCCAGGACTCCCCATACCAAAATCTGCAGACACTCAAGTCCCAGAGGAACTCGTGTTTTCAAAAACTTGGGCCTCCATATATGCAGGTTTCACATCCTAGAAATACTGCAATTTCTATCATGTTTGGTTGAAAACAATCTGCATGTAAGTGGACCCATGCAGTTTAAACTCATATTGTCGGAGGGTCAACTGTACTTACATTGTGCCAGGCCTGTGCCAGGCAGTGACTTCATCCTCCCCAGCCCCCAAGCCATCCCCAGCAAACATCCGACCCAAATACAAATGCAACTTCAAGACAAGACCCTTCACAACACTTTGCTTCCAAAAAGATTGCCACCTCTAAGACCCTCTGATATGAAAAGTCTGGAGCCCCTGTGGTGTGAGTGGGAGTGCAGAGATGAAGAGGATAACAGGGCCTCCTGCTGAGAGATTTTAGGGTCTAGAGGATGATCGCGCAGCTTCAGCCTATAACCAGCAAATGATTACTCATGTTGAACACTGTGGGTCTTGGTTTCCCCATCTGACATCACATTTAAAAGATTAAAAGCTAACAGTAGCATTCTGGGAAGGAAAGCAATTCACTGAAGCCCTATTTTGTGCCAGGTGCTGCACTAGGGGCTTTATATACATTATCTTATTTCATGCTCATGTGGAGTATTCCAGATAGTAGAGTCCTGGGCATTCCAGATAGTAAAGTCTTGGTTGTACGGAAGAGGTTGCTGAGCTCAGAGAGGTAAGAGGGACCTGCGTAAGGTAGCACAGCTGATAGAGACTCCATAGGGAGACCAAACTCTTCTCACTCTATCACAGACCGTTCCCATAAGGGGATTCTGCCTCACCCCAAGGATGAGGATACTTCCCACAAATCTCATTAATCTGAAGTCAGTTCAGAGAGGCATCAGTATTCTTTGAGTCTGTGTAACAGATAGGGAAAGAGATGCAGAGAAGGGAAATGTCTCAGGCAGCCGTGGTCACTGGCAGGGGCAGCCCACCAAAACATCTCCTGCATTCATGACACATCTCACTCAGATGGCCATTGGCTGCTGCCTCTTATGGTTGAAAACTGTAGGTGTGATGATGAGAATTTGTTGGATAGTCCAGACCTGTTCCTCTGTTTGGGCTTCCTGCATGTAGCCATGTGGTCCCTTAAGGCTTCTGGGCACGTGGCTGGTCCCCAGCAAGGCATCCACTTAGGCCCAGGAGAGGACCTGTTTCCGAGACTCTTCCCATATGGGGTCCTAACCTGCATCTTGAGGCTGTATGATGTCTACCCTGTATCTACAAGATGTATGTTCTCTATCCTGGCTGCACATCAGAATCACCTGGGAACTTTGAACAATGCAAACACCTGGGTGCCACAGCAGCCCAACTGAAGGAACATCCCCAAAGGTGGGGACCTGGGCATCAGAATTCTTTAGAGGCCACCCAGGTGGGTGTACTGGGCACACAGGGCTAAGGTGGCAAACTGACACATCTAGAGCTGGGAATGAAGTGCATGGTCTGAGCCATGCCCCTGGCCACAAGGATCAATTCAGGGATAGGCTTGAGACCCACACTGGTTCAAACAACCTGAATCTCTCCAAACTTGTGCTGGGAATGATGAGACAAAGATGTCCTCCCTCACCGGACATGAATGAGAACGCACACAGCCCTAAGACATGCCGGCAACTGTTTAGGAATTCTGAGAGTTTATTTAATAATCAGAGGGTTAATAAGCCAGACATCACGTAAGGCAAGGCAGAGAGATGGAAAAAAAAAAAAACAAAAACCAAGCAGAAACAAGCCTTTCATGACATCATTGATCTGCTAGATCAAGCTGCTTCTGAAGCTGGACATACCTCTGATCTTTTCAGATGCCTGTCTCAGGTGCCTGTATAAGGTCTAAATCAGGCCGGGAGTGGTGGCTCATGCCTGTAATTCCAACTTTTTGGGAGGCCGAGGTCGGCGAATCACCTGAGGTCGGGAATTCCAGACCAGCCTGACCAACATGGAGAAACCCCATCTCCACTAAAAAATACAAATATTAGCCAGGTGTGGTGACAGGTGCCTGTAATCCCAGCTACTCGGGAGGCTGAGGCAGGAGAATCACTTGAACCTGGGAGGTGGAGGTTGCGGTGAACCAAGATCGCACCATTGTACTCCAGCCTGGGCAACAAGAGCAAAACTCTGTCTCAAAAAAAAAAAAGATCTAGGTCAGTGGCTCCCTTCCTTCCCCACTGGCTGCATGTCAGAATCACCTGGGGAGCAGAGTAGGGGAATTTTTTTGAAGTGCCAAATGCCTGGGCCTTATCCCAAATGAATTGCATCAGAATATCTAGAGGTGGGGCCTTGATCATCAGTATGCTGTAAAGGCTTGCCAGGTGATTCCAATGTACACTTAGGGCTGCAAACTCCTGCTCTAGAGGAGAGGAAGGACTGGTACCCCTCTCCATGTGTTAGGCAGACCATGAGTAAGACACCAGCATCAGCCCTGGGCACTTAAAACTGAGAGGAAAATCAGCAGCTTAGATATTCAGAGAGAATTCATTGTGGAAGGGAGTTTTGTTTTGTTTTGTTTTTTGAGACAGAGTCTCACGCTGTTGCCCAGGCTGGAGTGCAGTGGTGCGAACTTGGCTCACTGCAAGCTCCGTCTCCTGGGTTCACGCCAGTCTCCTGTCTCAGCCTCCCGAGTAATTGGGACTACAGGCACCTGCCACAACGCCGGGCTAATTTTTGTATTTTTAGTAGAGGCGGGGTTTCACTGTGTTAGCCAGGGTGGTCTCGATCTCCTGACCTCGTGATTCACTCGCCTTGTCCTCCCAAAGTGCTGGGATAACAGGCATGAGCTACCGTGCCCAGCCGGAAGGAGATTTTAAAAGTAGTCCTCAGATGGATAAACAACAGAAAGGGAGATGGTTGTCCTAATGAACAGCGGGGAAAGGACACATTGCAGCAATGATAGGGTATTGGCCTTATCTCCCACTTGTCTTCTTGGAGGGATCCTGCCCCCTCTTGAACTGCCCAACAAATTCTCACCATCACGCCTGCAGATGGGGACTCAACTGTGCAGAAGGTGCTACAGCCACTTTGCCCAAATCCCCTTGGTGCTCACCATCACCCTGCAGGTAGACTCAACTGCTGCCAAGTGCAATCACCCGAGAGTTTTTGTCTGTGACTCTAACCATCACAGAGTGTGTCCATGACAGCCCGCTATGTTTTGGGTATTTGACTCTCTAAGCCTCATGTTGACATTTATCTCCAATGTTGAAAGGGGGCCTAAGAGAAGGTGTTTGGGTCATGGGGGCAGATCCCTCAGGACCAGATGAAGGCCCTCTCTTGGGGCTGAGTTCTTACTCTGTTAATTCCTTCAAGAGGTGGTTGTTAAAGAGCCTGGCATCACCACCACCACCCACACCCCACTCCTCACTTCCTCTCTCACCGTGTGATCTGCGCACACCCAGCTCCCCTTCACCTTCCACTACAAGTGGAAGCAGCCTGAAGCCCTCACCAAACGCAGATGCCCAATCACACTTTCCAGCCGCCAGAAACATGAGCCAAATTAGTCTTTTCTTCTTTATAAATTATCCAGGCATGGGTGTTCCTTATAGCTATACAAATGGACTAAGACACAGGCCCATTCTGCTGTGGACATATCAGGCCAAAGAATCGGGTTATTAACACCTCCTAGGAGAAGCCCTTGGCCAATGACTGATGAGAGTTGGTGGACAAATACCCCAAATCCCTGTCCTTTCAGCAGGAAGAAAGCTGAGTTCTCTTCTATACCATCTCCTAGACTTCCCTGGTAGGACTGAGCCCCAGTTGCTCACAACAGTAACTTACGATGAGTAAGAGAAGCATGTGTCCTGCTTTCATAAACCTCATATTCTGGCAGGAGGAAACTGACGACAAATGAAATTATTTTAGATGAAATGGCATGAATAAATGTGTGACATGGCAAAGAGTACACAGGATGGCTGTGGGCTACTTTAGAGGGGTGGAGAGTAAGGCTTCGCTGAAGAGCAGACCACTGAGCTTGACATGATTTGGATCAGGAGGTTCTCCATGGACATCATCTTTCTTGAGTCTCATGACAACCCTGTGGGGCAGGTATCCTAGGCACCTATTTTTCAGATGAAAAAAATGATGCCCAGACTCATAGAAGGACTTATATACACAGCAGGAAGTGAGCTTAAAAGTCTGCCAAGCTCCAAAATCCATGCCCAGCTTTATTTCTTACAGAGCATAAAGACCATTCTCCACCTTCCTAAAACTAGCTCTGATGATATACAAACACCAGAAGGTGTTAGGAAGCAGATGCTATGAAAACTATTAGCAAAAAGCAATGAAAACAAACCCACAAATCTGAGCCAAATTACTCCTCCTGTAAAAGGAATCATGCCAAGGACATGTGCAAAGATGGCCATATGGGTTTCTTAGAGGAGTTGAAATATGTCCTTCCATATCAAAATAAGGTTCATCCTAACTGGCAGACCTCAGCAAGCCCTGCACTTTGCTCCATTACCTTACTGAGAACCAACAAAGCTCAGAACTTAAAGACTGCAAGGAACCCTAGAGGCAGCCAGCCCCACCGGGTAGGATTCTGAAGACCCATGATATGCTACAGGTCCCATTCTAGAATAAAATATAGGGACCAAGGCTAAGCCAATCATTACCTCCCATGCCTCTTGCCACAGTGAAATTTTAGGAATAGGCTTAAACCCTAAGTTCATGCAAATAGCATGGAATGTTAGGGCTTTTACTGAGAACAATGAGAGTTGCTCATTATCCTGCTGGACATGAATGAAAAACACAGAGCCCTGGAACCTATAGGCCACCATTTTCTAATCCACAGGGAAGACAAGTTAGAAATGTAGGTAAGAGACCACAGTGATCAAGGCAGAGG